ACTACTCAGACCGCCCATGCATCCATTTTCCATCACTTATTGTAAGATGCAAAGCCTCTCTCTCTTATATATTTAAATTGTTCCTTGTTGGATTTCCCAGCCCCATTTTTATATCTGCTTATAATTTGCAGAATGTATTTTTATTGTTTTGTTTATTTTTACATTTTATTTCTATTTAGGGTTCGCAGCTTTAGCATTCTGTTCATCTAATCTGTCTAATCTGTCTCTTGCTAATAGCACTGCACTTAGGAGAGTTAGAATATTTTCATTTTGTTCCATCTTCTCCTTAATTGGCTTCCTTAGTAAATTTATGTTCCCATGGCAGGAAGCAGTGATTAATCATATGCACAAATATGCTACCATGTTTACTGTTTAGTTGAAAAAAAGGGCACTGTTAAAAATTTGGATGTTAAGTCATAGCATTGCTTGATAACTGCCTCTTGGAATTCAGGCAACACACACATACCCTTCCCTCTTCCTATTCATATTAGTTTAGTGTTCTAGAATTCCTGTGGTTCAATTTGATTTTTAGTGTCAACCCACATAATCACTTGCAAGAGTTTTGGGGTTTAAAGCATGAAACTACCATTTGTATGTACTAACACATCTCTGTGGAGCCTACGGTATATTCACACAGCCACTGTGTTTGTGTGATGACATCAACCTGACAAGGGGCTAATGGAATTGTGCAAAGAAAAAACACCCATGTGGTGATGTCACTACATTTAATACAATGGGTGCCTGACTCTTATCAGGGTGCAATCCACTTGTAACCACATAAGAAGTGCCAAACATTTGAACTGGTCTTGAACAATTCATACATACTTGCACCATGTTTTCCCTTCTTTTGAACTCTAAAAGAAATTTCATGTGTTTTGACCTGGGAATATATATTTCGCTACACTTCTGTACTTCATGGTTTTCTTTTCTTTTCAAAGACAAGTCTTGTGGGAAAGGGAGTCCAAATTTCCAAGGGATTAGCAGTGGGCTTCTTTGGGAATCTGCTCTGTACAGTTTCCAGCCACAATGATCAATAAGGTAGAAAGTGATATGGAACTACCTATGCATGTATATACATGTGCAAACATTGTGTTGAATTGACAGTTTGTGAATTAAGTATAAGGCCAGCCAAGCTTCCTTGTCTCAGACAGAGTCAACTACAAACAGATTTTCTCCACTTTCTCGCTTCACACAGAGGATTATACCAAGGTATGGAGAGTATGTAAATCAACCACTGAAAAATTCAAGAGAATAGCTGTGTTGCTGCCATTATTCTTAGTGATGTTTCTTTTAATGCTTAGAATGAAGCAGATGGTTCACAAAAAAAAGAATTGATTCACAATTCCGTGCTAGATCTTAAAATGTAAGGATCCATACAGAATGGGCATTTTAACAGCTAAAGTGTTAGGCAATTTGCATGCAAGCAATTGTACAGTAGGTAAGGTTTTGTAATGGGCTATAAAAATGCATTTGTATATTTCATTTCAGAAATATCTCTGTGTATTAAAATGGATTTTGTGACCATTCTGTTCTCACTAAATTACTTGTTTTTAAAAGGATGGAAATATTTCAGCGAAAGAGAAAAAAACAAACAAAAAATTCAAGCAACATTTTTTTTAAAAAACATACTGTAGATTTATACTTACTCTACTGCAGTCATGAAAACAAACACTTAACAATAGCACACACATACACCAACAATGAACCCTGGGAAGCAATTCATCATTGCCCTGCTCTTTGGAAATCTCATAATTACAAATCAATTTTTAATCATCTCAACACTCAAAATTGTGTTAATGCTTTCACTCAATTAAAAAAAATATCATTCAGTTATTCTTGATGTTAACAGCTTCATTCAGTAGCTGCTCTTAACAGCCGCTCTTGTATTTCAACCTTAAAAAAAAGAAAAAGTAACCCAAACTAAATTACCTTGGTTCTAACTTCCACTCCAAAGTTAGGCCACTCATCTTCAAAATGACACTGTCTCAGTATTTTTTTTTACTACATGAAATGTTCTCCAAGGGTTCAGTCTTCACATGATAATGAAGTTATCATATTTGGCATTGATTCTCATCTTTAGAAGCAATTCATACCCCTCTTTTCAGACTATTTAACAATCTTTGGCTTTCATCCCTGTGCTAGGGACAAAAACACTACGACAGTATGAATCTCTCTATTTGTGATCTATGTCACTTCCCTATTTCTGTTCTATATTAGCATTAATCAGTTGTTTTTCTTTCTCTCCTCCCCCCCAAAAAATACACATATTAATATATTAGGCTACATTTTAAAATGTGTGTTTTAATAAGTACTTAGATGCGTGTTGAAATTATATTTCTCTCTCAAAATGCACATTGAAACCTGTATTTATATATATTAAGACCACTGAGAATTACATCACAACATTTGGAGAAGTGTAAAATCTGTTGGGTTAATTTAGTTCCAGTCTGCACACTAGGGTATCTCCACCAAGCACAGTTTATAAACCACCTAGGGACTTCTGTCTGATCAATGTTAGTAGGCAACATGACTAGATAAACCTTTTGTCTAATCCACCAAGGCATTTTCTTGGGAATAAAAAAATCAAAGAAGAAGAGTAGTGTTGTATTGAAGTCTGAAAACTAAACATCATTTAGGAAAGGTCAAAAGGCCCAACACAATGTTTCAGTGTTTGTTTCTTTTGTATTCTGTTTTCAACTGCTACAGTTAAGAAGACGACAAAGAAATATTCTCTCCACACCCTCCCTACAATGTAAAAGCTTGCCAATGAAAAAGACGCAGTACAATATAGTTGCTAGTATCATGATAAAAGTGTGCACAAGAGCTTTAAAAAAAAATCATATGAAAGTCCCACTCGTTTCAGTGAAAGATTGTGTGTGTTTAGCCAGAAACATAAGAAGAAACACCACTGTGTTCTAAGGAGTTTACTCCAAACTGAGGTGGATTAAGGGGAGCATGACCGGTTTGCCTGCACTGGGCACTGAGCCAAGAGGCTACTGCAGGGGCGCCACAACAATGACTGAGAATGGAGCATGAGAGGCGAGGGGGCACCACATTTTGACATTGCACAGGGCGCCACTGAAATGTTAAAGCCCAAAGTTTGCCACTGCTCCAAAGTAAGCATTCATAGGAATGCAGGCTTGTAGCACAAAGCTTAGGGGGTGTTATGTACTGAGCTGAATCCTAGAACAATAGGATCCAGAATGCAGCAGTCTGATTGGTCTGCAGGAACCACCCAATCCAGCTCTAGGTGGAAGTGAAACAGTGACCTGATTGGCCTGCAGGAGCAGCCAATCAGGCTCCTGGATGAAATGAATCAGCAGCCTGACTGGCCTACAGGAGCAGCCAGGAATTAGCCAATCACATGGGGACCATTGTGTAAATAATGTATATATAGCTAGACGTTTTTGGGGAAAGTTTTATTCATTGCTACTACGAGCTGAATAAAGAGCATGAAAGTCACACTCAAATCCGAGTATATTTCAGGGGACTTATTTGGTTTGTCTAAACCCCAATGGCTTCAAGCTATGCTTTGACTTCCAAAATGCACCCACAGCTGTAGTTTTGCTTGTTACGTTATCTGCTGCAGAAACAGATGTTTGGAAAAGGCACAAAGAAAAGCTCTCCATCCAGACATTTGTCATGACACTTCCCTCTTTTCACAAATCATGATGCACGTCTATAGGGAGTGTTGTCTTTTGTGTCTTTTCCAAACAACTAGCAGATCATGCAACAAACAAAACTGTACATCTGTGGATGTAACCTGGAAGTTGAGGTTCAGTGTTTGAAGCCAAATATTTTTTGAACATTACACAGGGAAGGTGGGTCTAAAGAGAGTATTTCTAATACAAATTATCAATACTACTGTAGCAACTGAAACATGCTGTGGATAGAAAACTGATGCAGAATACTGACACACGAAGGCAGGATCCAGATAGCTCCTTTAGGCCCATGGAATGGGCTGGGAAGCCCAGCATCTCTTTTCAAACATGCCATATCTAAAGCTGCCTTTGAAACACAATTTTGAAAAATATATTTGGCACACTACATAGGTGGGTGGGGAACAGAGAGTGTTGTTCATGAAAGGCAAACTTAGCACTTAGTGGGGCATGTGAGCTTGTTGTAAACTTGAATCCATCTTATGCTTTAACTGTAGGTGTATTCAGATGTGGGGAACATTGCATTCGTTTTTCCAATTATAATGCTAGAGCTTCTATCATGTTTCCTAATATTTGTTTCAGGCTCATTCACACCAGTGGGCATGGTGTGTTCATTTGTTACACTTTTAAGACATAGGACGATGCAGAAGGAAGATATCAGTATGAAATGGCATTGCCAACAGGAACTGTACATTGTAATCGGTGGACTTGACAATCTTTGGACTTGACTATCCTTGGACTTTACGACAATAAAAACATATAGAAGGTTAATAGTAATATGATATGGTATTGCCACCAGGAACTGTGCTTTGCAATTTTTTGATATGACAATTACAGTTTTATTATATATAATGTTATGTTACTTTACAGCCAGTTATGTGTGTGTTGTGGTATTCTGAACATGATTTATGTATTGAGGCAATTGTGGTGTGTGGTGACACAACAGCAGACATCATTGGGTCCGATGCTACCACCCCACCATTTCTGCATCTATGTATTTCTGTTCCCACATGACTCACCCATGACAATGACATGAAAAAAAGTAAGTGCTGCCATATTGCTCTGAATTTCATCACTTTACTCCTACAATTTTCTGGGTTAGTGGGATTACAAACAGATTCCCCCCTTCCCCACCGGAAGCAATTAACATGGACATGGGTGCTAAACTTCTGCTATATTCTACTAGATTTCTCAAAGTTGCTTTTATGGCACACAAAAGCTTGATGTACAGTAAGCCTGCAACTTCCACACATTTAACTTGTGCACTTTCAGCATTAGACAAACAAGCAAACAGGGGAGTGGAAAAGGGGTGGGGTTCTGGAGAAAATGACTTTGGCAACGGCTGGGATAGCTCAGTTGGTAGGGCGTAAGACTCTTAATCTCAGGGATGTGGGTTCGAGACCCATGTTGGGTAAAAGATTCCTGCATTGCAGGGGGCTGGACTGGATGACTCTTGTGCAGGGATCAGCAAACTTTTTCAGCCGTAGGCCAGTCCACCGTCCCTCAGACCATGTGGTGGGCCGGACTATATTTTGGGGAAAAATATGATTTCCTATGCCCCACAAATAACCCAGAGATGCATTTTAAATAAAAGGACACATTCTACTCATGTAAAAACAAGCTGATTCCTGGACCGTCCATGGGCCGGATTGAGAAGGCGATTAGGCCGCATCTGGCCCACGGGCCTTAGGTTGCCTACCCCTGCTCTTGTGGTTCCTTCCAACTGTACAAATGTATGATTCTATGAGCCCCACCTATCATTGAACCCAACGGGGTGTGCAATCCCAGAAAATAACCCCCACATAAGTTGCAGGCCTGCTGTAACGCAGAAATTAGAAGTTAGAGAAACATTAGGGAAATGGAATAAACTCCTGTACAAATGCAGTCCATGTGACACTTCTGCTTTGGGAGTGAGCCGGTAGCCTTCCTCCGGCAAAATGCTAGTGCTCATCTACTGTTCCATTGAAAGCCCTCATTAGCTTGCAGATGTCCTCAGGCTACTACATCTTCTTCCTCATTGTGTACAATAGGCTTAACTGCTCAAGGTACAGCCTTCCCAGCTTCCCAAGTGTAATTGTAGCCTTTTAAAATTCAAACGGAAATATTCTTCATTAATTGTACAAATGTAATATCAATATAAAGTATGTCTTCCCTGAAAAAAGTAGGCTTTAATTCTGATTAATTTAGTTGTCTTAACATTTCTTTTACATTCATGCAAAAAGTACAATAGCAATTAAGAGCATGCTAATGGGCTTATGCTAGTTTTAACTCTAACAGCTGGGAATTGTAAAAAGAAACTTATGTAGAATGGCAACACACACGGGACAGGCAGCTCACTCTCAGCAGTATTCCTACGTTGTCTCCAAATTTTACATTAGGAAGTGTTGCTCCTTATTCATTGCCGTAAACAATTGCATTCCCCATAAAGCAAGCCAGAAAAAAATCATGGAAATTTCCCCAGGTGCAGACTTAGGCCCTCTCCTTTACATATAATTGAGGCTACAGTGGGTGCAAACCCCCAGTCCACTTACAGGTATCAGCTTTGTGCCAAATGATGTTTTGAATCATCCTAATTTGGATTTTCTCCCCCTCCCAAGTCCAAATATGATGCCAATAAACTCTCTCTCAAATCAAGTCCTCCAAAAAAAAAAAAAAAAAAAAAGCCTCATGTTATTCTGTTATTTTTGTATAGCTCTAAAGTTTTATTTGTTTCTATAGGCCTATGGGCTTTTCAAGAAGTGGGGCTGTCCCTAAGGTTGCTTCTGGGCCACCAAAGAGTTCAGGGTTGTTGTGGTTTCATTAAAGCACCAGCAGTAAAGCATTTTTCTTCATTCAATGTTCTGCATTAATAAAGCCACTGCTACCACCCAGAGCGCTTCAAAATTCCAGAGGCAGCATTATAGAGAGCCTCAGATATTAAGGCCTATCACCAGAAAGGCTGGTATGAAGCTTGAAAAATGTTCAAGCAAGAATACACACCGCTTGTCCCTTTCTTAATTATTTCAATGTAAGGAAAAGCAAAATATAAACTCCTGCTCCACCCTTGAAGATATGAAAGTAATATGGAGTATGGAGGAAAATTATTACTTTTTATTTCACCTACAAAAAGTTCCTGGACCAGTTTGTCTGCAAATAGGCAGACTAAATCCACTCTGGTAGGACTCCTGTGTCAGCAAATTTCATTAACTTTGGTCAAAAGGGGGGGGGGATAGTGCCATTTTTAGATTCCCATTTATAGGGGCTGAGGAACACAGAGCTTCATTTATACTGAGAGGCTCAGAACTCAGATCAAAGCACAGAGAGCACTGAGTACTGTGTCCAGTTCTGGGCACCACAGTTCAAGAAGGACACTGACAAACTGGAACGTGTCCAGAGGAGGGCAACCAAAATGGTCAAAGGCCTGGAAACGATGCCTTATGAGGAACGGCTAAGGGAGCTGGGCATGTTTAGCCTGGAGAAGAGGAGGTTAAGGGGTGATATGATAGCCATGTTCAAATATATAAAAGGATGTCACATACAGGAGGGAGAAAGGTTCAGAGAAGCGGACACGGAGCAATGGATCCAAACTACAAGAAAGAAGATTCCACCTAAACATTAGGAAGAACTTCCTGACAGTAAGAGCTGTTTGACAGTGGAATTTGCTGCCAAGGAGTGTGGTGGAGTCTCCTTCTTTGGAGGTCTTTAAGCAGAGGCTTGACAACCATATGTCAAGAGTGCTCTGATGGTGTTTCCTGCTTGGCAGGGGGTTGGACTCGATGGCCCTTGTGGTCTCTTCCAACTCTATGATTCTATGATTCTATGAGTATTCAGAAATGGATGGACCAGAATTTTTTTAAATTCACCTATACAAGTATAAGAAGAATATTGGGCCTGTGTACACTCCTGATGGATAAGTGTGGCAGTTTTCAACGAAACGTCAACATAGCATAGAGAAACCTGATCCAATGCTATATAGAAGTATTATTCCACACATTGCATTCAATAGCTTTTTGACTATTTTGCACCAATAGGGAAAATGTATCAGTACACGTGTACTGTACACACCAATCAAATGCTTGGACATAGTAATTCAAAGTTTAAAGTACTGAGTGGATTGGATGCATCTCTTAAGATCAGGATGCAGTATATTAATGTTAATTAAGAACAAGGCTCATCTTTCGTGAAAACCTTGATGAGACAAATGCATATGATCGGTAGGGATGTCTAGGAACCCTTAGCCTAAAAGTAAAGAAAGCTAAGGAGTTAACAAGGCTAAATTGAAGCTGTTATATTGTCAGGGAGGATTCTGAGGAGCAATGGACAGAAGAGGAAGACAGGGAGATGACGCAGGAGGCAGAACAGGGGGTGGAGAGCAGTCAGGGAGAACAGAGCCTCAGAGTTGCTGGAGAGCCCCACAACCACCCAGAGACAGAGGAAGTGGAAGAGGGGGGTGGAGAGTAGCCAGGGAGAGAAGGGGCTCAGGGATGCTGGAGAGCCCTGCAACCACCCAGAGGCTCGAGAGGGAAGCTCAGACTCAGAAACGTAAGGATCAAAGACGTCTCACGCAATTCTCACGCCTACTTTGTTGGCGCAGGAATCGTAGGAAGCCACTCCCCGAATCTGACTCAATGGGTTGGGACGCGTAATTCTGAACTGTAGCTGTTCTTGTATATATGCAATACAGACTGTAAATATCACGCTGATTGTGCTGGAGTGTTACTGCCAAGGGGAAACACCACCTTTACATATATATTGTGTAGCAGAGTGTATTATGTGCATATCATCATACGTATATAACTATATAACAGCAATTGCTATATTATGAAAGTACGTTGTAGGTACGTGTCCCATGTCGGGGAACGATTGTTGTTTAAGCTTTTGAAATAACACCATTCCAATTTTTGTGGCCATTTTGATCTAACAATTGATATCAATTTTTGCTTTTACCAAAACAACAACAACAACAACAACAAACTTGAAATTTTAAGGGTAGGGAATAGAAAGGGATTGATTCTACCCAATATGCTTATTGCCTCTTAGAAAGATACAATACCTAAAAGATGACAGCAGTGACCTATATTGCACATACAAGCATCTGGCCAGCATAAAGAAGCTATTTTGAGATATTTTACAGTTCTTTCCTCTGGTTTGAAATAACTATCATGACCAGCCCATAAAAAATTATGGAAGCTCATCTTCAGATACTTTCAGCTTCTTGTTATGGCTTTTGTTACCTTTCTGTTGCTGTGGATAAAATGTTATTGGTGTTTTTGTAGCACATTTAAAATGAATGCTACACTATACTATATTAATGGCTACAAAATTAAAATACAGTGTTATTGCTGTAGGAGATTGGATTTATTTTTCTTTTAGGTATTTGGGGAAAGCTTCACTTACAACCAACAACCATTGATTTCTTGTCACAATGCCATTAAAATATCGTAAACATTACACAAACGGGCCCATATATATTTTTTAAAAAGAACATTTTGTGGAAGGATGACTTTTTAGTGCATACTACTGGTGGAAATGAAGACATTCTTAAGTACTATTGACTATAGAGCCAGGCTAGGCCTGCATAACAAGCTCTCATGTGACCTCTGTTTCTGAAGTCTTAGGAAGGCAGGAAAAACAACAAGGTTTCTCATGCTGCTGGATTGCTATATGTCAAGTGTGGGGAATCTTGAGCCTCCCAGATGTTGCTCAACCATGACTTTCATCAGACCCAGCAAGCATGGCCAATGGTTAGGGATAGTGGGAGTTGGATTTCAGCAACATCTAGAGGGCAAAAGATTTCCCACGCCTGCTATACATGATGGGTGGGATTTTTCAAATTAGTAAATCACAGAGCCTAGGACTTGCCGATCAGAAGCCTGGTGGTTCGAATCCCCGCGACGGTGTGAGTTCCGGTTGCTCGGTCCCTGCTCCTGCCAACCTAGCAGTTCAAAAGCATGCCAAAAGTGCAAGTAGATATATAGGTACCGCTCCAGCGGGAAGGTAAACGGTGTTTCCGTGCGCTGCTCTGGTTCACCAGAAGCAGCTTAGTCATGCTGGCCACATGACCCGGAAGCTGTACGCCGGCTCCCTCGGCCAATAAAGCGAAATGACCCCAGAGTCGGTCATGACTGGACCTAATGGTCAGGGGTCCCTTTACCTTTACCTTTTTAAGTCACAAACTGGGTAGGCTGACATTCCAGCAGGTAAAACGCAGAGTTGTTACTTGGTGCACAAGCTCCCTGTTACACAAGCTCAGGCAGTGGCGGAGCTTCATGCTCCGGCACTGGGGGGCGCAGAGAAGGTGGGGGCAGGCCTGGTGCACATCCTGGGGGCATGGCTCCCAGCACGGGTGGGTGGCAGCCACGATAGCACCCTGCCAGGATCGCACTGCACTCCTCTTCCTCCACCAGGTGCAAATATTTGTGTTTACGTACTCTG